AGTGAAATGCGAGCCCACGGAGCAAAGAAATTTTTTGCGACAAAAATCATTGGGTGGACAAAAAATACTCCTTAGTCTCTGTTTTAAGGGGACTGATCAGCCGTATTAAAACTGATATATTTCGAGGAGTGACTACTAGTTAATGGTTGTTTTAAGTCGCGCACTCGAGAAGGTCGATGCTTTTGGGCGTTTGTGATATTTGTTTGCCTCTCAGTTGCTGCATGGAATACATTCGAAGTGATGAAGGAATACTTGGAAAACCAGACTTCCACATCATTCACCATCCGTCAGGTTTATTTTCTCTCGGTCGATGTCAAAGAAGTTATTACTGGCAAAAAGTGATTTCTAATTTTTACTTCGCACAGGAGTCGAAATTAGAACTACCAGCAATCGTTGTTTGCCCAAAAAATGCCGATGCCATTGATGGCAATTTGATTGTGCGGCAAATCAGAGACGCTGTTCCGGAAATTGACGATATTACCGCATCGTCTGTACTCCAGTTCGCTGTTGCTGGTTATGGATTTCGAAATATGGAATCTGGTTAGACCGATACGGAACTGTTTCACAGGCATTTTTTGTTTTAATCGCGCCCGCCACAGCAAAAACTTTTCTTGAACTCCTGGCTAGAGAACACAAAGAGCTTCTGGATGATATGCTTAATCAGAATGACTTCTAGCAGTAACTAGCTGGACACGTCGAGAAATCGCTATGCTTTCAAATCTTTTCGATCGGTGGCGTGGCAACAGATCTCTCGCAACAATATTCAGCAATATTTTTGAAAAGTATGGCTACAAATGCGAAAACGTAAAATTTCTGCACCGTCTTTGTTTGTTTATATATAAGCGAAGAAGATGGCGCACTAAGATGAAGACCAGCTAGCCTCTGCGTGTCCATCATCTGTTCGTGAAATTCACTAGGCAAGTTTGTCGAGTGGTCAAGCATTAGATGATGCAGTGCATCGATGTCATCCAGACGGCAAGTTACCCTAACGTGATCAAAAAGTGACAATGCTTAGGACAGAACGGTAGCGCCCAATATACACCGTTAAAACTCCAAGCGACTAAAGCTATTGCCAAAGCCCTCCCGTTCCGAGAACTGCTAAGCACCTAATCCTTTTATGGGAGGCGAATGGACTACAAGGATTACCAAAAGACTGACTACCACGCATTCAAAACAACCGTGAAATAAGGAAAAAAAAATGACACAATTGTCAGTTGCACCAACTTTTTTTTGAACAAAATTTTTTCTGTTGGTCAGGCAGTACGGCCGTGGAAATTGCAGGTGATGCAGAGCTGCACGATTGGTAGTCGGCGCATATCGTGTTGCGAGATTTTTGAACCAGTCTTTGTGCTGCTCCGGGGGCGATGCATGCGCCTGAAGCCTCTTTACCAAATTGACAACGTCGAGTCCTCGGTGCTGAGCATCTCGATTCTCACCGTACCAAGCTATTTTACCACCCGGACGAACAGTCAGGTACCAACATTCACATACAGTGCAGTAGCTCCTCTTCCACTATCTCTATAAAGAGCAAATGACAAATCTTTGTTTTTCAGTCATTTTAAAATCACTGACTGTCTGGAGAACAGAGAATCCCGGAACACCAACACCAGGCTTACCTGCACTGAGTCGCACTTTCTCAGCCAGCTTGGTTCTATATGATGAGTGAATAACGTGCGTGCATTGCCTAAATCGCTTCCTTCCTCGCAGCTGTTAGGCAAGCGACGTTCACCGATTGTTATCAAAGCAAACAACATGCTAAATTTTACTTCCTCATCCAGACGCAACTTTGTTCAAATCTTATCACTCCTCTCTAGATTAACAAAAATTGATATTTACGCTGTTTCTTTTGATCACTGGGAACCAAGCTTTTAGTTTATTTTTAGGGAATTTAAATATG